TTGTACTTACTAAATTGTGACGCCTCAAGAGAGAGAAGAAACGGGGAGGTTCTTAACCAGGCAGGCACTTCCAGTTTGCTACACTCCTCTGGATAAGAGGCTAGAGGGGCGAAAAGAAAGACAAGACAAGACAAGAGAAATATGGGGCATGTCATGTAAAGTGGACTGGGAAATGGCCGCCACCGTAGCTCAGTGGTAGAGCATCGGACGCGTTATTCGAAGGTCGCAGGTTCGGATCCTGCCGGTGGCAAGTCGTCTTTCCGCCCACTTTTGTTTCTTCACATTTGCATTGCGATTCCTTCTAATAACGCCCCCTATACTTTTTTTGGGTAATATTGTATGTTAGTTCTCATTATTATTGTGCCTAAGAAAACGAGCCCTCGAATTTGAACTTCCTTCCTTCATACTACACTTGCTTATTTCATCCGCCGTTCGGAGTGAAATGGTAGCATTCTTCCATTCGTTTCTGGCATATTTAGGGCACCATCAGCTTTGGATTAGCGTAAGTATACAAGTTTTGCGATTGCGCAGTGGCGACAATTGAGAAGCCTGGCGTGCTCTAGCTTGAAATTACCTATTCGCAGCGTAAAAACTTATGGGAAAACAGGGCCGGCATCCGGCACATGCTTTGGGACAGTCCTGAATGTGAGCCGTTCGGGAAGAGAATGAAAAGAAAGCTTAACGATTTACCAGTGGGCCCACTACTGCATTCGATGTTCCTTGCGCAATCTTTGTTATGACGCCGTCAACGAGAGTGGCGTGCGTGTCGGGAGCGCGGAGGCAAGAGAGTCGCGTCGTGAGGCGAAATAGCTCGTCTTTGGTGGGAACCGCATTCCTGGCCGTCATTGTGCGCGCAGTCCTCCTCGACTGACCTTGCCACACGAGGGTCAGACCTGGCCAGATACCTTGGCCGGGCAAGGCATTCAACAGATCCCGTAGCGCCAAAGCCATTGCAGGTTTGCAGCAAGGTCACCAGCGTTTTTTTAACGGACGTCAAATAGACTGATAAAACGAAAAAAAAAAAAACTCTCGCCTGTTTGGATTTGACACAATTTTCGTAAACGTTTTCATCTTTGCTCGGTTTAAGAACGTTAGTGTCAAGGTCTCCAGAAATAATGCAGTGGTTCCTCGGAGCGCGTTGCACCGATTCGTATTACCGTTTGTGTAAAAATACCCATTCGGTGCCGATATCCAGGGAGAGCCTTTCAAAGTGAGGTGACTGCACAGTCCGACGTATACATATAGGTCAAAGTCACCAGAGGGAACGAACCTATGACGTAATAACAACATCGCTGTCGGGCAGTCAGGCTGCACGAGGTGCACGCAAATAAGAGTAAATTATTTGTCCCCAAGCGACAGGAAAGTTACGTACAAAGGCAACTCTGTTGACTCTTCGTGATAATACTTTTACACCCGCATAATTTTACCCTTAAATTATCCCTTTTGTGAATTTACGGCTATGAGCCTCGCCACAGTGATCTTTGGCCATGCTCGGCTGCTGACCCACAGGTCGCGGGATCGAATCCCGGCGGCGGCGGCCACATTTTCGAAGGAGGTGAGAATTCCCGAGACCCATATACTTTAACATATACATTTACATATACATTTAGGAGCACGTTAAAGAAGCCCAGTGTCCAGGTACTCGGAATTACCAGAGCCTTTCACTATGGCGTCTCTCATGATCATAGCATATGGTTTTGGGACATTAAATCCCAACAATTATTAATAAATTACTGCTATGAAGCAAAGTAAATAACTTTGCAGTTTTGATTCTTGTCCTTTTTAGAATATCCTCCAGCGCGCTTTTACCGCTTCTTTAATGCTGATTGCCAGTTCTGACGTGTATTACCAGCCTTGTCAAGCCCCCCCCCCCCCCCTTTTTACTTCATTTTTTTTTTCATTATACTGAAAAGGAGAGGGAAGGCCATGCAACTTTTCAATAAAAGTCAGTTCAGCAACAGTTGCACAAATCCGAGTGCACTGTTTGGGCAGACTGATGATCCACGATCCTGGTAACAACGTAGAAAAGAAAAACAACAAAAAAGGCTGCCTCTCCCCGTTTTTTTTTTTTTTGTGCGCAGTATACCAGGAACAGTTACGCAAGTTACTGAATTCGCGGTGGCTTATCTGTCTCCGAAAGTTTCGATGTAACGGCCTTGAATGAATTGCAAAGCGTTTGAGCAAAAACGGGCCAGGTGACGCACGTTTCGTGGAAAGGAAGATCGCCGGTCTCATAATGAAATACAGCACAGTCAATACGCGGAATCCGTCCTCCGCTCTCTTTTTTCACGAGCAGCAACGAATTTCAATGTTGAATTCCACAACAGACCTTTGCAGTCCGGAGCAAGTTCGTACGTGATCGACCGCAAAGAAAGAAAGAAAGAAAGAAAGAAAGAAAGAAAGAAAGAAAGAAAGAAAGAAAGAAAGAAAGAAAGAAAGAAAGAAAGAAAGAAAGAAAGACAGACTTCGGGCACGTTCGTATTTTTACAGTAAGGCAAGGGCTCCATTTTTTTATTCGTAATAATTACGTCTTACTTTCGCTTCATATTCCTTATTTATAACTCCGAATTTTCGAAATGAAGCAATCATGACAGACTCTCCACCGCACTGCAACATATCAGTTCGTTCATTCGCCAAATTTCTCCAGAACAACAAATCTTAAACCAACGCGGTAAAGATCATAAAGTGAAACCACAAATGGTGAAAGCCGGAAACGTCAAAATAAGCCTAAACGAAGAAACGAGCGCGTTTTGACGAACCCCGAAGGGACCAGCCGCCCACGCCGTCATTGCAGAATGACCCTGTGACGACCGTCGCATACCGCGATTTCTCTAGGACACAAAACAGGGTGACAAACATGAGCATAAAAAATAGGCAATAGCAATACGTAAAAAAAAAACAATCCTCCCCATCCCACGCGTACACTGGCGGTGCGAATGCACGGAATTGATTGATTTGTGGGGTTTAACGTCCCAAAACCACCATTTGATTATGAGAGACGCCGTAGTGGAGGGCTCCGGAAATTTCGACCACCTGGGGTTCTTTAACGTGCACCCAAATCTGAGTACACGGGCCTACAACATTTCCGCCTCCATCGGAAATGCAGCCGCCACAGCCGGGATTCGATCCCGCGACCTGCGGGAATGCACGGAATGCGAAGCATGCAGTGAGCGCAAATCAGCATGATAAATCATGACATTCATGTTATTACACGTCATCCGATATCATATATTCGTCACGTATGCATTGATGTGTATTCACATACCATGCTAATGAAATATTTATTTTCATGTATATCGTGAATGACATGTCATTTACGTTTGTCCTAACAATGGCATGCCAATTATGGCGTTTCGGATTTTTAATTTCCCGCCTAAACTACTCGGGCCTTAGCAGATTCCGTTAACATCTATGACGTCACCACTCGCGTTCTCTTATCTCGGGTTTTCTTGCTTACCAATCGTCTATCGCCGATAGCGTGGTGTTTTCGGTATCGTGAATGAGTAAATTACTGATACGAGAAAAATATTTTTTTTCTCTCTGTCTTTAGTGTCCTTTTAATGATCGAGCTGAAGAATGCATGAGCGAAGCTTCGCTAAAAGCTGGAGAGCGTCGAAGTCACAGAACAAACTTTTGGGGTGAAGTAACAGTATAATATTCTTGTAGAGAGAGAGTTGGATTTTGTATGTTTGCTTGTGTCTGAGGAGCCAGTGAACCGTGAAATCCCGAAGTCACGGCGTGATTTCAATCCGTCCTACTACAATCCCTGCACGAGGCGGCTTTGCATTTGCCGTTTTCTGCGTGCTATACATTGTACACCGAGTACATGCTTGGCACGTGAAGACGACGAGACATGTTGGGGCTTCCATTGCGAGCATATTTCTGTAAGTTTGCACTTGTATCAAGGGGCTGAATGAAATAGTGTATGTATGAACACTACCATGCACATAGTATCTAGTTACGTTAATCATGCATGCATCTTAACTGACGACTATAGCGCACGGGATTGATTGATATGTGAAGTTTAACGTCCCAAAACCACCATGTGATTATGAGAGACGCCATAGTGGAGGGCTCCGGAAGTATTGACCACCTCGGTTTCCATAACGAGCACCTAAATCTGAAAACACGGGCCTACAACATTTCCGCCTCCATCGGAAATGCAGCCACCGCAATAACGCATGAGATGAGCGCAAAAAAAAAAAAACAGTAATGGTGCTTGTCAACAGCCGATGGGTACAAGAGATATCAAGGCAGCCTGTACTTGCATCCGTAGTGTTCTAATACACTCTAATAGAGAAAACTCTTTCCTCTAATAGAGGAAAGCTATTCTTGTGTCCGCTTTGCTACTGTCAAAAGATTTCAAAGGTGCAGCACTACGCAGCCAACGAGCACTCGGCAACATACAACATTCAGGGCGAATTCCGTCTGTACCCACGTGGAGCCACCACGAGGGCAGCGTCGTTTATGTCGGGTCAGTTATCTATAACGGTCGAAGCAGACAACGTCACAATATTAAAGCACAATGACAAAAAACTGTAGGGCCTGCGGGTGGGTGAGTCTGAGGCGTAGGGAGAATTTGTTCTCGTGGGAGGAGGGGGGGGGGGGGGGCACGTGGTGTGCCACCTCCTGGCTTGACTACGTTACATGTGTTAGTACGCTCGTTTTATCCCTTCAACATTACAAGCATGATAATCGCGGTGACCTTGAAGAGAGATTCTCTAATTATCACGCGCAGTTGATTGACCACTGCATGCTCCGACCACGTGTCAGGGGATGTAGGTACACGACATGTGTTTCTGTCGAGTGGAATACACTGGCAGGAAGTTGGCGCCCGTCCTTTTTCCCGTGTTTCTTTGTCACTGTTTGGTGCACGCCTAAACAGCTTTCTTGGGGTACGCATCTACACCAACCACCTCAAACCAAGATTTTGCGGAGAGCAATCCATCGTCAGGCTGAAACAGAAACGCGTACACACAACGCGTGGTGAATCAACTCACGATTTCCTTGCGGAGCGAGTCCATAGCCAGGTCAAACCTGGACCGACGCCAAGTGGACGAGGCTTCGCTGTCCGACGAAGCCGTCGCGTCGTCGTCTTCCGCAGAGCCCGCCGTTCCTCTGTCGGGCTGCGATGGCACCACAAGCGTTGCACCGGATGCCCACTTATTCCTCAGCAGCTCGGACTGTCGAAGCCGCTGCGCGTAGAAGTCGCGGCAGCGCCTCACCAGCGCAGAGCTGCCTCCTTGAAGGCGCGTCACAGGTTCCGAATGCTCGCGACGTCGGACCATGCGCCGCCATCCGGGATCGTCGGGACGCTTGGACGCCCGACGTGGACCGGAGACGCCCGGCGGTCTTTCAGTACAACACGAGCACGGCGACGAAGACATGTCGACGACGCGCTGTGCGCTTCAGTTGACAGAGCTATTATGCGAACAGAGTCCGCGACTCATTGCGGGCGCCCTCAAACCACTCGGAACCACGCGCGCTCCTCTTCGCACTAGAGAAAGTTGGCCAACATCTCGCGATGCGGCGGCGCTCCCGTTTGGTGTTCACCTTCAACTGCGACAGCCTTCGCCAGCCACCACCGTAACGCCGTGCCCCCCTCGCTAGGTCACTCTGCCCTCGCCCAGCGTCGTGACGCAGCCAGCGGTCACTGCGCCGACGCGTGACGGTGCAGCGCGCCGTTGGTGTGGGCCAGCCCCTGCTGCGGAGCTGACGACGCGGAACCGGCATTGTTCAAGGTTGCACCGGTCGTTCGCAGAGCTGCCTGGGAGCGCTTGTGAAATGTGGACCGCTTAGCGTTCGCCCCTCGCCGTTACTTACGGCGCCCCGTATGCTCTCTAGTGAAGTGAAGCCCCCCTTAATGGGGGAGGCCTGCCATGATTCTTTCGGTGCTCCGACTGCTGAGAGACAGGGCTCACTTCTGCGTAACATTTCCCCTTATGTAGTGGCCCCGTTTCACACCAGTGTACTTCGCTCTTTATATGCAAGGAGGAGATTTCGTTCAAGACGAAAGCAATCCTTAGTAAAGGTGAAGTCCCCGTTGAGCATGTTGTTCATTTGCCATGTACTTTGTGTACTTTCTGCCAGTCACGCTATATTTCTGGAAGCACACACACACACACACACACACACACACACACACACACACACACACACACACACACACACACACACACACACACACACACACACACACACACACGCACACACACGCACGCGCACACACACACGCACACGCACGCGCGCACGGAACGGAAACGAAAGCAGTGTACAAAGAACACAAGCAGTGTCACTGCGCTGTTCTAAAAAGACATACGTAGGTTCAACACGTGCTGTATCGCTATCACATGGCATATCACTGCAAATCAGTCAGTGCGTGCCGAGAATATCCGAATCCTTGAACTTTCAGCAGTCCTGCGTGAGTCATTTCAGCTAAACGGCAGCTTGTCCCAGAAGAGAAAACGAAACATGAAACAAAGGTGAACAAAGGTGCTGTCACATTGCGGTTCCCATTCTTAGAATGAACAGATGACGCACACTTGCTTCCGATTCAGCGTGTGCCTGTTACCGAAACGTAATAGAAAAAAGAACACATTAAATGAAATGTAGGCACGCGCAATTAGCTGCGATAAAGCTCGTTGCGTGAATGTGGCTTCCGCGTGAAGCGTACGAGTCGCCTTCACTTGTTAAGGTGGCTGCTAGTGAAAGCATTGCAAAAACTGTTTTGCTTCGGCGTGCAGCAACTTCAGTGAACACGAATACAATGCTATCGCACGTCTTACTTGCTTAGAAATGAGAACGCAAACATGTATTTATTTCGGGTGCAGTAGCCGGAGCACATGCTGAAAACGTCATCAGCTTGAAAAAATAACAAGGGTCAAAGATTACGCCTTATTTTCTCCCTTCAGGATTCTGATTTCATTTCTGTGTGCAGCAATGGACGCACCAATACGCCGGCATTGCTATTATCAGCCAATGCACGCCTCACGTCGATACGCGTTAAGTACAAGTAAACACACGTGGACTGTGCGGACTGCGCCGCGCTAGAGCCTCTAACATGGCGACATGCACATGACGGCCGACAGATGGCAGCAATTTTGCATAAGGCCTTTTGCATAAGGCATAAGGCAAAATAAACTTTAAGCGGGTAGACTTAACTAGAAGGAGGTTATCTGATTGGTGGCTAAAGTCAAGGCACGAGTGAAAATTAAACTCTTCACTGCAAAGTACGAATCCTCAAACTCACTTTTTAAAGAAAAAAAAATAAATATAGCTTTTGGTTCATTAGGTATTACGGCTAGGTGGCGCTAGCCACCACCCGATCTAATGGGTACAGCCATATCCATCCATCCATCCATTCATCCATCCATCCAGCCTGTAGGAGATGGTGACGGCGTGTTGGCTCCGCGATTAGCTCGGGCACCACGCTCAGCCACAGCTTATCGTAGACTCGCACGTAACGGAAACATCGCTTCAACGAAACAACGCTTGAAAAAGCCATTTCATAGGGTGTCAAGGTGAACAAGAAAGATTCACAGTTGCACTCAACGTGAAAGCTGAAGTCAGTGCGGAGTAGTAATTCATGGGCAAGCACCCGCTGGCCTTGATACTATAGATGCATTACCCTTCTCATCCTCCACATCAGTCTCTCATCACTCACCCTCTCTTTCTTTCCCCACCCTTCGCTATACTATGCTACGCCCTTTATACTATATTTTCCTCTGTCCCCTCTTAATCGCTCTCACTTATCTCTCCCGCGCCTTGATATACGATAGTACACCTGGCCATTCTATATGTGGTTTTGTCTGCGTGACCTGATACATGAATGTAGTATGCTACACCCTTTCCCTCCTCCTTTCTTTCCTCACCCTCCCTTCCCTGCACCCTTGGCTATCCTACACACTGAACATGACTATGCTATACAGGGTCTCGCCAGCGTGATAAGCGACGGACATTAGAGCAGACAAAAATATACGACAGTCCCAGCCCCTAATGGGCTCCTTATCTAAATGTAATGCAGCCATAATGCGAGACATAGGGGGTCTAACCATAACACTCGCTCTAGTTGTGTCAATAACCTGTCGGGGTCTATCTTTGAATCAATTGAATATCATGAATTATTAGAAAATGGCGTATGCAAAAACTCATGTGGTGGGGCCAACTTGAGAGGCATGAAAGCTTCGCTTAAGAGTGGTCAATCAGCTATCGCTACGTTTCTTTGCCTTGTTGCAGGGTGTCCTGAGCCCGTCATTGAGAATTGGTGTCATACGTACAATAAATCAATACAAAGCCTGCAATGGTTGCTCTCGTTCATTTTTCTCAACGTAGTCAAAAGTATTTCCAGCACTTTTACCTGGAACGCCGCACTTTTCCACCCCCACATCCGAAACTTAACCGACCGCAGGCATTCACCCTACGCCTATTACAGACACACACGTACCTAAACCTTGCCACGCTTCACATTTATTATCCCGATGCATACCCGAGCGACACATGCCCATCATGTGGACACACAGTGACACTCGCACACGTGCTCTGGGAGTGTAGAACAAGGTGGTGGTGGTGGTGGTGGTGGTGGTGGTGGTGGTAGAACAACTCCTCTTGACTCTACCTCAAGCAAGTGGGAGAGGTCCCTCAGGAGCTCACTTCTCGCCGACCAGCAATGGACCGTCCAGCAGCCCACGAAGCGGCCGCCAGGTACTCCCTGTTGGTCCCTACGTGGGAGACGCCCGCTACGCGCTAAGCGCGTCCTGCAGGACTGAAATAAAGTTCTTTCATTCCATTCCATTCAAAAGTTTACTGGTCCCGCCGGCACAAGTTTCTTTCCGTTCATATCGGTACAGAGAAAAGGACGCGATTCGCAATATCGGGTGAAAAGCACGACCGGTGGCGCATGCTGTCGCTCAGACTTTCAGCGAAATTCTTGTTTGTTGGTTTGTTTGTTTCCCTGGACTCATGGCTCACACCCACTCAGCGGGATTGGCCAAGAAAACGTAGTGCATTTTTTCTGTGAGCATTTTAACAATGTGTAATGAATTTGTATAATAATATAAGAAAAACCACATAAAAAGAGAGCAAACAAAAAATAAAAAATGGAAAAGTCAAGTTGGAAATTTTTGAGATTTCAGGTGTTGTGATTACCACTCAGCTGCGTTTACTTCACCTCACCATTTAGATTTTTTTTTGGGGGGGGGGGTAATGAATAATAATTATTTGATTGAAGATCACAAAGGTATACGTTTGGATGCCTGAATATAATCGCAAACGGCATTGAAAGCATCCCTGTGGCAATGTCCCAAAGCTGAGGCACCAAAGCTCAGTGCAGTTTTCGCCGTCAATGTAACGCCTTTTTTTTCAGAAATGGAATAACTAGAAGCCTTTTTTCAAGTATAGCGTATCTGCGGCAATACAAAAATAATGTTCTATTGAGTCCATTTCTCCGCAGAATGCGCAGAGGGGTGATAATGTTTGACCAGCTTTGTGTAGATACAGGTTTAGGGGGGGGGGGGGCACACGACATCGGAATTTAGTAATTAAAACTTCAAGCTTTCTGGATTGGCTCCAGTGGGGTTGCCACGGAAACTTGAGCTGGTTATATTCTGTCCATGTAGTTACATTTTCTATCATATCAGTGCAGATTGCTGATTTTCGATATCTTATTGCTGTTATATATTCAACATCTGGCAGTATGGATAAAAATTGGGAAATCAAGTGCAGCTCGTGCTAAGGAATCGGCTAGTTCATTTAATCTTAATCCACAGTGTCCCGGAACCGATAGTAAGCTCAGTAGTCTAAACTGCGGTGGTACTAATGTTCTGAATGTCCTTAGAATTCGAGAGTTCTCAGAAGCTCTCAGAGCTGCACAAAACAAAATTCGGCATGACTGCTTCGTTCTTGCTCGTCTGCGAGCCGCCAAGCCACACAAATCTTTACTTCAGTACCAACATCCGCTCACAAACAAGGAAAGGAAAAAAAGCTTACCATGGCCGCGAGGTGACCACAAACAAAATGACGTTGATCGAATCTTCGTTATCTCGTTTCACTTTTTTTTTTTAATCAGCTTCGCCGGAGTTATCTACATACTCAACTGGGCTACAACAGTCAATATGTGTTACACCTGAATACTCTCGCGTACGCGGCCGTTTGGTATTGCGCGGGCTCGGTACTATCTCTGCATAAGAGTATACGGTCACCACGCCACCTGTCCGAGCGTCATTCACTTTGCCCTTTCGGCCTGGCTGCAAAAATAAGACAGCCGTATCGGCTTCTTTTCTTCCTTGTACGCTGGGGCGCCATCTATGCGTAGAATAAAGCAGAAAGCCCCTGCTGTTAAAGGGTCCATAAACACACAAAGTTCAGAGGCGAGACAGTATCCTTTCTCGCATTGACTACCCTTCCTGAGCGCCCCGCCGCGGTGGTCTAGTGGCTAAGGTACTCGGCTGCTGACCCGCACGTCGCGGGTTCGAATCCCGGCTGCATTTGCGATGGAGGCGGAAATGCTGTAGCCCGTGTGCTCAGATTTGGGTGCACGTTAAAAAACCCCAGGTGGTCGTAATTTCCCGAGCACTACAGCGTCTCTCACAATCATTTGGTGGTTTTGGGATGGTAAACCCCTCATATCAATCACTCGATACCCTTCCTGAACGCTATCTCCTGCTAACCACTTATTGTGTTCTTTATAAAACACGTGGACTGTCAGAAGCGTTAAGTCAGACAGCATATCACGTTTTTTTTTTTTTACTTTTACTACACACTGCTATTTCCGCTAGCGCAGTCGCAAATGCAGAAAACGAAGTGAATGCAGTTTATCGCGCACGATAGCCACGACACAAGGCAGACCGGGCATGCGACTGCGTGGCAAAGCAGAGTAGGTGACGATTCAGAGCAGATATCCCTCGTAAATAGACCGATCGAGAGATAATTTGACCCTGTCGTCCCGTGAACAAACAGCTGGCATCGCGAATAGGTGACCGGTAATATGGGCAATCGCAGGGAACTGTGGGATACGACGGATTCA